ATAAAATAAGTTTTGAACAACCCATAACTTGCTAAATATGCAAAAGAAATTTTTTGTTAAATCATCCAAAAATTTATTTTTTTTAATTATAATCTTCAGCCTCGATTCAAAATAATGGCAGACTTAAATATTCATAATGGCAAATCATCGTTTTTTTTCAAATTGGGGTAATCAATTCAATAAAATCACCTTTTACAAAGTTTCCGATCACTAAAAAAGTTTATAGCCTTGAAGAAGAATGGTGTGTTCATTAGAACTCAAAAAATTTGACGGATTTATTTATTGGTAAAGCAAAAAATTTTTGCAAAAACTTCTTAAAGACTGGGTTTTTTAAGTCCCCTCAAAAGCAAGGTAATCTGTATCTGCAATTCTCAAAATGTGTGTGTGTGTATGTGTGTGTGTGTGTGTATGTGTCTATATGTCTGTGTCTATATGTCTGTGTCTCTATGTCTATATGTGTGTGTCTATGTGTATGTGATCGGATGCTGTTTATGCGTTTCCACAGTTTTCATCCAATCTCGGTGAATTTTTGTGGGTTTGATAGACAATTCTTCACTGCCAATTTTGAGCCCAAATTGGCTGGGAAAAAAATTACAACCTTAAAAGGTGAAAATCGTAAAAACTGATTCTTTACACTTTGCGCAAAAATCAAAGGCAAAATTTAATGTCAATAAAAAAAACAGCATACAATCAGAGTTGAAATCAGCGTACAATTAGAGAGTTGAAATCTAACGCAAACGATTGTTAGAATTATAAAAAAAAAATTACATTATAAATAAAAATTATCGTATATTATTATTATTATGACGGTCTATGTAAGGAGTTTCTTCCTTGCAATATTGAGAATGCAAAAACGACCCTTTTTAGGCCTTTATTCAAATTGTTAAATGACCCGATTTGGGGATGTTTCAGTATTGCACCCAAATGTTGTTAATAATATTGATTTTCAGGTGAACTGACATTAAACTTAAACTGCAATTGAACGGCAAAAATTATTCAGTAATGAAACACCCGGTTGAAAAAATTTACACGATATAACTATAAAGTAAAAATATTTAGCTGTTTCAATTTTATTATATACTAAAGTATATATACTATATTTACTATATAAAATATATTGTATAATAGGTATATTTACTTTGACGTGTATAAAAATACGTATGCTGTTGGCACACTGAATGATTTTAAAACCTAAGTCGGCATTTAGTTAAAAAGCCGTTGCCGACTTTTCAATATGATACCAAAATAAAAGAAACGTACTTTTTTTAAAAAATAACTTGGTCCAACAAGGCAATAAAGCCACTAAGATGCAAAAAGGATACTGAGATTGAAAGAAACAAGATGGATTTAAGGTCTGAAACATAACGATTCAAAACTTTTAAATTTAAAATTTTTTAGAAGTCGTAGAAGAATTGGAAAACCTGTACTGAAGAGAAGAAACTATTAGCATAGAACTTACGGTTACATCTAGAAATGTCAACAACGAAATTATGAGACCTAACTGCCAATCTAGTACTGCGCTTAAATTCGTTAAGTCGAGGCACCAAGGAAGGGAAGCTGATCATAACCATTACCCTTAAACTATTTATAGAAAAGGCAGAGGAAAGCTACGTTATGGCGTTGGGAAAAATGACTGAAGCCGAGATGCAAGGTACATAAGGTATTCTAATGTATAAACATTTAGAAATAAATTACAACTATTACAAGTGATGCAAAAGTGCCCCTAAATATGAAGAGTCTTGAAGCAACAGAAATATGGTTCTACGGAAGGATGCTGAGCATACCATGAACCGAATCAACGACAAAGTTTTAGAGAAAATGGTAAAAAAAAACAACAAAAAACAAACAAACAAAAAACAAACAAAAAAATAAAAAAAAACAAAAAAAAACAACAAAAACAAAAAAAACAACAAAAAACTTATACATAACACCAGGAAGAGACAGTTGAAATTTTTAGGTTACATAACGAGGAAAGGGGGTTTGGAAAATTTGATACTCACAGGACAGATTGACGGCAGAGAAGAATGGTTATATTGTTCATATATTTAGTGAAGAGTAAATGAATGGCGGAAGAAGGTTTAGGAGAAATAACCAAAAGTCAAAATTTATTAAGAGCTCCGAAGGATAGGAAATTGTGGAGAGCCATGATCACTTACGTTCTGAAGGGACACGGCACATAAAGAAAAAAAAAACTTAAGTAAATTCTCAACATTTATTTTTATTTTATTATTATTTAAAAACAATATGTATTGGCAATGAAGAAAGCTAACAGTCCATCTGAACATTGCCTCCGGCCCTGGGTACTAATAGGATATGCAGGGATGATTTTCAGCTATTGCTCCGGCTGATGAAGGAAGTATTTCAAATGGATCGCCTCTTCCGACCTTTCAAAGACTCTCACAGCCGACAAATCGTAATGGCTCGGTGTGCTTCGCGAAGCCAGGCAGATGGTAGAATCATTAGATTCTGAGCTGGGAACTCCAGATAACCTCTAGGTTCATGGGTAACATTTTGCAGATGCGATTGTATTAGAAGCAAACAGCTAAAAAACCTTTGCATGAGATCTCCCACGGAGGGGTCTCATTTCCAGAAAACGATTTAGGGTGTGCGATTCGAATAGGGTGAATTAGGAAGGGACTGATATATATATATATATATATATATATATATATATATATATTTTCTTTATTATTATTCTTTATTAATATTTTTAAATTCCCTTTCATGAACTAGAATAAATCTCTTTCCAGAACACACATCGAAATTTTATATATAAATATATATATATATATATGGTATGTTTGTGTGTGTGTGTGGATAGTCAAATGGATAGCGTCATGGAATATGAAAAAGTTTTTCCCCAGTATTCAAATTAAAGTTACTAACACGCAAATATATTTCTCCCCTCAGCTACAGATTAAATAGTAGGACAAACTGGGGTCTTTAACCTTGTTTGGCAAACAGTCTAGGAAGGATAATGTGTTCTGTTCTCCAGAAAAGTGTGGTTGATTCTACACACCGCTGTTGTCAATATAAGGATGCGGGTCGTCTCGCTGTTCATTTCTAGGAGACGGATTGTTGGGCCCCTACTGCGCTAAAGATAATTGGAGACTTAATCTTGCTTACTGTGACGTTCTTCGTCGCCGAGCAGTTAAGCATGCCGTATCAAACGGTAATTTCCAAACGAAGGGTTGACGCAGGTTCGATCCCTGCCAAGGGGACATTTTCTTTACTTTGATCTCTCGAATACATAGGCAGATAGACGAAATATACAGTTGAATAAGAATGGGACATCTATTTCAAATAAGAAGCGTTCACTATAATAACACTTGAAGTTATATATATATATAGTTGCAGATCAAATATAGACCAGAATCCGACCGGATGATAAAATAAAGTAACAAATAGGTAACGTATATCAATGTAATGTATATCAATCACTTCGTGAGAGATTTAGAGAAAACAGACAAAAAAAAAAACATTGATATTTTCAATTCTGTTTGGGTTAGTTCTCATTGATCAGACAAGTATCACGTGTATTAAAACCGTGGATCGTTCTATGTGTATGTAGGTTTGTCAAGATTCTTGTATGTCTAAGTGGGCAACGGCTCGGTGCGTGTGTCTATCTAGTTGGAGTTTTATCTTCATCGTGTGTGTGTGTTTGTGTGTGTGTGTGTGTGTGTGTGTGTGTGTGTGTGTGTGTGTGTTTACGTACGTATGAGAGGGAGGGAGTCTCGAGGTTCTAATTTATGACCCGTTGTCGATCTTGACAAAATCAACGTGTGTAAAAGGTTTTTTTTCCATCATATATGATTTTGACAACATTGAAAAGAATATATATCTAAAAGTCTACCATTCATCTATGCTTACAATATTGCTGTCACATATGGTTCGGTTCTATCGATATTTACTTTGAGCTCCTTGATAAAATCCGAAGAAAAATGGGCAATATTATCGGTTCTGATCTGGGTGGTCGAATTCAATTACTTCCTACCACCGTAAGGGTTGCGTCCCTGTTTCTTTTCTATAAATAATTTCATGGTAATTTTTCGGATAATCCCTTCGCTATGGTACCTAGACTTTATGAATTTAAATGAAGTACTAGACGTACGGTATTTTTTCATTTTATTAGGTAAGATCAATTTCCAGTTGAGCTGACTAGATGCAGCCATGAGTTCTATGCTAACAGTTTCTTCTCTCGCATTCTAACCCGAAAACTTTGTTTCCAGCTCCATGCTTTCCAAGTTTAACTTTAATCTTACAAAATTTAAAGGTAATAATTTTCGCCATACTCGTGAAATCCTCTTCCTGTTATTTCTGTTCCTCATTCTTCCACATCCATTAACCTCTTGTGTCTCAGTGGTTTTTCTGTCTTGGATTAAAAAAAAAAGAAAAAGTAAATAGATTTGTTTTTCTGTCGTCTATGCGAGGTATAAAGAAAGAAATCACATCGCAATAAGTCACATTGTTTAAAAGTTCTTTCTCTTTTCGGTAAGATCCCCTCATGGAATGCGCATTAAAAATTTCCTAGCGATTCCGATGAGGTATGCAGCTGTAGACTAGCATTAAAGATGTCGGACTTGATACATTGAAGCAAGTTTATAAATGCTAATTCGTTAGTGTTTATATTCAGAACTCAAATCTTAATTTTCATTTTTTTCTTTTGCTCCAGGACGTGCGCTAACCAAGTCTTTATGCGACTGACATCATGAAGTTCGACTTCACCAATATCGTAGACAGCAAGTATATCGGCTTTGGAATAATAAAACAATATACAAAGAAATCTACAATAACTGTTAGTCTTCTAAGTTCTCAGGGAATTCAATTGTTTCTGAGAGTCATCAAGAATCCACGAGACTTACCAAGACGAGATACAAAATATTGATGACAAGGAACCTCAACTATTCATCAGGCATAAAGAACATTACACTTCCAATAAAACAACAGAGGAATACAAGTCGAAAAATGGTGACACCATAAAGCGTTGTCTATTCTGCTGTTCAATGTAATGCATTTATGAAAAAGGGATGGAGGGGAAAGGAAGGAAAGTGCTGGGGAGAGAAAAGGTAGAGAGAGAACCTGGGAAGGTAGGGAGGGGGAAGGTGGAGAGAGGATAGGGAGAGTTGAAGGTAATGAGAGAGAGGAGGGGGATCTTTAGAGATAACTTTTTAAGGTAGAGAGGGAGGGGGGTTTATTAGAGTTGTTGAACTAAGGTATAGAGAAGGAGGGGAAACCGAGAGAGGGGGAGGGGGGGAGCAGGCGATGCCTGAACCATTTCTCCATTTCTGAAGCAAACGTGAAATGAAAAACCTTGTCAGTTTTTAATCTTTTGTACCCACTTACTTCTAGGTGTTACTTGATTCTAATCTCGTTCTACGACCCTACCACTCTTTTTTTTTTTTTCTAACCGCACCCTTTTACCGCACCGGCAGCGAAACTTTCCACCGCCCACTTTGAGAATGTAAAACTTAAAACGTTATTTGGAAACAGAATTGGTTGTCTTTAGTCTTTTAAATAAATTTCCACGTAAATCCCCTTTTTAAAAAAAAAAAAAAAAAAAAAAACCTTTTG